CACAGCCCTGGCAGGTAACTTCTGATTGGTTCCTTGCCACGAGGCAGGTATCTGACTTCCTAGTGACTAGGGCAGGCCCAGCAAGGTCAGACATGTGCTGTATCAGGGGCCTACATGTCTTTTCTGCAGCTTGTCATGACTGCTAAAGCAGGGGAGGGGGAGGGGGTAGGCTTGGGGGCTCATCCCTTCAGCAGTAATGGTGTCTCTTGGCAGCAATAGAGACATTAAATGAGACAGATGTTGTTACCGGAGACTGGGGTATTTCTGTGATAGACCTGACCATGCTTTGGTTTGGAGGAACGTGGACCTTGGGAATGTGGATTAGAAAAGCAGTCATGCTTTAAGGGTTACTTAGTGGGCACGCTAGTAGGAACATGGAAGACTGTGGTGCTGAGTGTGATTTGGTGAATTGTGTGGGCCTGGTTCAAGAGATTACAGAGGAGAAGAATATTAATATGTGGCCTAGAGATTTTTGTGATATTTTGGGGAAGAATGTGGCTGGCTTTACCCTTGGCTGAAAAGTCTGCCTGAGGCTAAAGTGATGAGTTTTGGGTTAATTCCCTTGGATAGACTCTGTCATGTGGTTATAAGTGTTAATTCTAACAAAGACTTATAATAAAAAGTAGCAATCTGAGCAGTGAAAAATACAGAATGTACAGACTGAATAGAAAAAAGGCCCCATGAAGTCAAACAGAGCTAAATTCTGTGTTCAAGGAACTAAATGGGTTTAGAAATGGAATAAAGGGCGTGATGACCTCAGAGAAAGGTCCCAGCCAGCTAAGTTTCCTACTTGTGCAAAGGAATTAAAGAAAAACTTAGAGCTGGATGAGGTGGCACACACCTTTAATCCCAGCACTGGGCACACAGAGGACCAGCCTGGTCTACAGATCCAGTTCTAGGACAGTGAATTTTAGGCATCGAAGGAGATCATCAAAACAGAAAGCTGATGAAGATGTAATTGAGTGAGGGGCCATGTTCCAGCCCTAGCAGGCAGCAGAACCTGGCTGCTTCAGCCTTGTGGTTCTGGCTTTAGAATTATGATAGAAAACAGAGGTTTTGGAATATTCCTCCTTTACTAAGGAAAGCAACTGAGGCCAGGTATGTGTCAGGGTTTTCTCTGCATGGAGGCCTATTGAGGCCTTTGCGTGAACTGTGAAGCCTGCATTGCCTTGGAGACCCAGGATATTTGAGATGGCAGAGCCATGGTTACTTCCCAGGGAAGCTGCTAAGAGGGAGTGAAACCAGCCCAAGAAAAAGAAGTCCCTTGCAGTCAACAACATTGAAAGGATTTGGAGATCTGAGGCCCTTTGACATCAGACATGGAGATGCAGAGTTTGGAGTTTGCCCAGCCAAAAAGAATAACAGAGCTCACACCTTTAATCCCTGCACTAGGGTGGTTAAAAGGAAGAAACAAAGGGTCTCATGTGAGGTTTAGTTTCCAGTCAGGGAGAGCATTGCACTCTGAGGATTCGTGGAGACAGGATCACCCATTTTGGTCTGAGGTAAGAGCTAGTGGCTTGGTTGCATTGCTATTCTGATCTTCAGCTTGAAACACGATATTTGTCTCTGGGTTTTAATTTTTCATGTTACAAGGATTAGTAAAAAAAATTATTTAAAAACTTCAAATCAGCATTCCTGAAGTTGTGATCTTGAAGTGTCTATGGTGGTTACTACACTGAAAGTTCAATATAAACTTGAAAATGAATGAGCATGGTGAGTATTTTGGGTGCTAGAGAGATCTTCCAGGAACCAGTATCTGTCACAGTGTTATGCGTGAGAGGCCAAAGACCTGTCTGGAATCATTACCCATCACCTGGACATCCATACGGGCTTCTTGGTAGACACCATCTTTTCCAAAAAGGCACCGGTACTGCCCATCATCTGAAGTTCTGGCATCATGTATCTGCAGGGTCAGCTTCCCTCATGGATAGCATCAGGCATCACCACAGTCCTTCCTCTGTATTCTGCCATCTGCTCTCCAGCCGAGTGGGCCCCATCCACAGACACATGGACTGCAGGATAATAGTGGGATGAGACCCACGTCACCTCCATGCTCTGAGCATCAGCTTGAGGTGACAGGTGACAAGTTAATTCTATGTTCTCTCTGACTCGGACAAGAATGGGCTGGGAGGTTCCAGTCACCCTTGAGGTGGCTGTTAAATAAACCAGACAGAGAACAGGAATGAAGCAACATGGAGAAGCAACTCTACCAACACAGGCATCTCCTGTGAGGTCCAGAACCTGCAAGCACCCCTGGGGAGGAATGAGTCTCAGGGTCACATTTGGAGGAGGGTGGGACTCACAGGCTCATGGTGTGGAGTTTCAGGTAAAGCCTTGCTAGTCTGAAGAGAGCACTAGTTTAAGCCCAGGCTACACACCAAGATGATTTTACTACTAAAACTCTCAGAATAAAATGAATCCCCCATCACTTCAAATCTGACTGACTTTACACACCAGACCAGTCCATGCTTTTGGAGTTTTAAACTATAGAATTTACCCACTGCTAATCCTAAGCTTGCTGTGGGATTAAATGAAGGCTCTTTGGTGATCATGCTGTGTGAGCAGGGGTTAGGTTGGGGCACAGGGAAGCCCTGCCTCTCTCTCTCACAGAGGTTATGAAGTGTTCCAGTGGCTTTCCATGCTCTGCCCCCACCCTCAGGGGGAGGTGTGTATGAGGTTCTCACTCAACCAGCTCTGTCTGGAGTTTCTCTGGAGAAAGAAGAAAAACGTTTTAAGGAATTTGGTGAAAAGGAAAGGAAGGAAACTATCCCCGGGAATAAAGGTAAGCTTTACATTTCATTTAAGAGCTCAATCTTTCCTTCTTTCTTTTGTTTTCAAGACAGGGTTTCTATTTGTAGCTTTGGAGCTTATCCTGGCACTGGCTCTGGAGACCAGGCAGGCCTCGAATTCACAGAGATCTGCCTGCTTCTGCCTCTCGAGTGCTGGGATTAAAGGTGTGTGCCACCAATGCTGGATAAGGGCTCAATCTTTCTTTAAAAAATATGAAAATCAGAAAAATAATTCTCTAACAAGGATCATCTGCTAATACAGCTTTTACTTTTTTCCACAAAAAGCTGTCAATTCTATTACCATCAGTTCAGTTTGCTTCTTCCGATATTAAGTGATGGTAAAAAATACATAATATTTTTATAAATGAATGCTAGGTATGAAGTGTATGGCCACAAACAAGTATCACATGGAATTCCAAACTGGGGCTCTATGACGCTGACGTAGCATTAACACAACACTTACTTTTAGCTCTACTTTAGCTGCTCA